ATTTTATGTACTGGACTCACCGTGTGAAAATAAGGTCGTAATTTGTTGATTTGATTGTAATAATGACTATTATTGGTTTATAAAATTTTCAAATGATTTTATTTCCAAATGAGTCATAATTTTAGTTATTCATCTGGTTTGTGGTCGTGTTGATTGGTCATTTTCATTCAAAATAAATTATATTTTCCTTGTTTAATAATTAATTTCTTTGTTTGCTTATAGATAATACTTTAAAATAAAAGAAATGCAAGAAATGCTTAGGGTTATAAAATAATTGCTGGCATACTTTAAATACGGAGATAAAATTTAAATGTGGAACGAATAAAACTGATTATAGTTATTTGAGGGATGACCAGCAAGCAGGCATCTTTCAGACGGTCAATTTGAGAGGATGTAAGAGTGAGGCTGCTAATTAGAGATACTCTGCCAAGTAACAATGAGATATATCAATGCTTCTGAATGTTTGTGTCCGTGAGTGTGTGTGTGTATGTCCCTTAATGTTTTGGAGAATGTTTTGCATGTTTGTGTGCTTTCCACAATTTGTGTGTGGCACGTGTTGTAGTTTTCACAAAAATGTGTACGTGGTTTATGATTTTAATGTCAGTTACGTTCAAGCCACTTGCAACATTTTTACTTCCACTTTTTGTTGTTTTTTTCATTCTATCTATCATAAACAATTTCATTAGAATCATTTTTTAGAGAATATTCAGCTATTTTGGAGTCCGTGGAAGGAACTGCTCAATGATTTCACAGCAGTTTACTTCCCACCAGTTCCGATTAATTTCAACTGGCTGTCAATCACAATCAAAAATGACGTCCACTTATTTTAAATTAATATCAAATTCACCATCGATTCCACCAACAAGTTTGTTAGCATCATCGTTGTCATCATTATTAATATTTATCTTCATCAATCATCGTCATCATCATCTTCTTCATCATCATCTTCTTCATCATCATCTTCTTCATCATCATCTTCATCATCATCATCTTCTTCATCATCATCTTTTTCATCATCATCTTCTTCATCATCATCTTCATCATCATCATCTTCTTCATCATCATCTTCATCATCATCATCTTCTTCATCATCATAATCGCTGCCGTTATTGTTGTTATCAATCATTACCATCATCATCCTCCTCACCATCATTATCATTGCCGCCACCATCATCGTCATCATCATCGTCAGCGTCATCATCCCAAACACTAAGCAATGAACATTTTTCAATCCCAACATTTCCCTTTATGAAGTGGCTCGTTTGAAATTCGCAACGATTATGAACGGCGTCTGTTGGCACTGCGTGTGAGAGAGTGATAATGAGGAGGAGGATGACGATGATGATGACGCTGGTGAATATGGTGATGATGTTGTTGTTGATGATGATGATGATGACGATGATGATGATAAGGATGACTTTGGTAAATGTAATGGTGTTGTTTTTGTTGTTGATGATGATAATGATGTTGTTGTTGTTGTTGTTGATGATGATAATGATGATGATGGTGTTGTTGATGATGATGATGACATTGGTAAATGCAAAGATGTTGTTTTTGTTGTTGATGATAATAATGATAATGATGATGTTGTTGTTGTTGTTGAAAATAATAATGATGATGGTGATGAACATAGTGATGATGGAGTTATTTTTCAGATAAAAAGATGCCGTGCTGATGATGATGGTTAAAATGAATACAACTAAAAATGGTCATGGTGGCAAGAATTTTTTAATAACATATAACATGTTTAATATTGTAATTATATTTAATATAATATATATTTATATAAAATTCATAATATTATACTATGAATATTCTTATAATTTAATATTTAAGATAATTTATTTTACTGAAATAATTTTAATAAAAATTTGACCGCCTCGAGCCATCCTCATGATTGATGCTCTGAAGTTTTTTTTTTAAATTTCACGAGATGTCGTCTCATTTAATGCGTTTATTTATTTGATAGATTACTGCACTGGCTTCATAAAATTGTCGCACAATGAAATTTTCACGTGAGAATTTCAATTTCATCTACGCTGATGGTTATGTACAGTGTTGACGAATCTGCTGATGCTTCTTTGAAAGTGGTTTCAAATGTGCGCTGAGCCTCGCTGAGCGATGGCAACTTCTCACAAAACACAACAAATGAATTTCTATAAATGAATTGCACTTGAATGAATTACACAATTTTTATCTGAATTAATTGAATCTATATGAATGTATTGGGTACGTAATAAATGATTCATAGTGGCAGCCAAGAAACACGGAGCATGTTGAAGTCACACGCACACGCACTTACACGCACACACGCACACGCACACGCAGACAAAATGTTGTTTCACATAATGATGGTTCACACGGCTAATGCGCTTACTTGCAACGTAATTTCTATTGATCAATTCTCCATTCAATAATCCATCCAGGATGAGAAATTTTGATTCCCAAATGTTTTTTAATGTTTTTCATGGCAACAGATTTATTTAAACAGAAATTTATTCAGTGAAAGTGAGTGAAATAAATATACCTTCACATAAAATATCAACTCACATTCTGGATTTTATTGAACGAATTAAAAAACTGATTATCATTAAAATGAAAAATGTTATTTAAGATTCAGTAACATTTGTTGGTTATCAATAAATAAGTATAAAATGTTGATGTATAATTTTGATGACACAATGTATATAACATAAAATAACAAATGAGATCAAAACAAATTTTTTTAATTATTCAGCATTGTCACTTCTTGTTGCTAGATGGATTGTTGGGCAAATGATTTTCGTAAAATATTTATGATGATAAAAAAAATGCTGTTGAACTTGATAAATGGGTAATTTTTGTTGGTTAATGTTTTCATAAATACTTGAACAAGTTTTTATATTAAGCTGCTTTCACGAAAAAGCAAACATCACGTACTTTTGTTCGTATTCGTTTATGTTGTTCATTTAAATTCAGATATTGAACTGGTATGTTGTTTTTATTTGCATTTCAAAAATAGCAGTTCAATGATGGTAAGCAAGATAAGCTGTACAAACTGCGCGTATGTTTAACGCATTATATTATTCAATTTCATTCTTCAATTGAAATTTTTGAAGTTTTTGCCCTTCTTACAAAGCTTGACTGGTCCAACTTGCCAAACATTGAAACGTAGGTTTTCAGGTGATTGATAATTAAATATATAAGCAATAATAATTGGAAATATTGTAAAAATTTATCTGTGATCAATATTAAGCAGTAATAGTTACCTCTTATAGCTTAATTGATATTTTAAACATTGAAAAACCATAAAAAACATTTTCGAAATACACTGTAAATATTTCTTTTCTTCACATACAACGTATTAACATTTTGGTCTGGTTTACTACACTGATAAAATGCCACACTGATGAATGATAATTGAAACAAATTGTCTTCTCACGTCTGCTTGAAATTGGGACTGGCAGCACCAATTATCGGATGCAAGTTGTTCATTTTCACAAGTCTTTCAGTCGGAAAAATATTTCCAAAAAAGGTGTCTCAAAAGTTTTTAATTTGAAATAATTTTAAATTGCATATATCAAGTGAAAGTGTGTAATGTGGCAATAAATTTTGGTGATGAACTTTTGATTCATTCATCCTTATTTGTTAAAATTTTAGAGGAATTAATAACTCAATGTTAGCATCTTATGCCCATCAGCAACCGCATTTGAGAATAACATTTAAATTTTCTTTAATTTTTATTTGAACTGAATTTTTCAAAGAATTGAGTTAAACATCGTCGCACGTAATCTTTCCTGACATCTCCAGCGATTAATTTTTCTAAAAAATAAAATGACAGATAAAATGTCTTTATAATAAAAAATAAAAAAAACATGAAACATTCCACCAAAAATTATAGCAAAGAAGATGATGATGATGTCACATGTTAATGTTTCTATGACCTTTGCGTATTTGGCTTGAAAATTAAAAAATATTCAAATAATAATTTCGGATAATAATAAAAATGAAAAATATTTTCTACACTTTTAAAAATTAGAAATACAAGTCAGAGAGAACGCGGAATCACAACAGCTTACAAATGAAAGGAAAAGAAGTTTGCATTCAACATAGTCGTTCGATCAAATGTTTTATGTTTGAAAATTCAATACAGCACAAACAACTTTTCCCGAATGTTTGTGGGTTATTTAAATTTCATTCATGTGCACGCAATTTTGAAAATGCTGTTATTATTATTAATCATCGTCAGACAGTCAAACATGGAACGCCTGTGGAAGGTACATTGGAGATTACGTATTTCATACACTTTCAACAGAAAGGTGCCGAGCAACATTGAAAGTCTGTTGTACATGCTGTATGGTTAGTGGTTGGCACGTTATCAACTTAGCACGTAGTAATGATTCAATCTGTTCAACTTATTAAATTATATATTTCAATTTCCTAGGACGTGGAGGAAGCGCTAGAGAAATAATTTCCAGGAAGAGTGAAAAAATTTTAAATTTAAAAGATGATAAGAAAATTATACTACGTAAATTGCTTCTTTAATTTAGAATTCTAGGCCTAAATTGTTTATGAAACTTTCAAAAAATATAACAAACTTCGTGCAATATTTGTTGAAAGTCAAAGTTCATTTTAACTTTAATTCGTGTACATAATTTAATTTAATTTCTTGCGAAGAAAATTTTCTAGAAATTATTAATTGTTGCCTTGGAATTCGTAGATTGGGTTGAATATTTGAAGTTTTTGTGACTATAACATTAGCAATCTTGTCACTTGCAGCGCATCCTACATGGTTTTCAGTAATTTTCAGTAACACTACAATAATTGCAATGGTTTGATAGATTTGAAATTATTTTTTTGCCTCTTTCATACCGCGTTATGGATGGACAGAAAAATAATTCTCGCGAAATTAAAATTCAAAGATATTAAACGAAAAACAATTCATTTTTTAATAATCTTTGAAAAACAAGTTTATCTAAAAAAAAGAACAAAGATGAGATATGGTTGATTTTTGAGGTACATCAAAGTATGTACAAGTTGGCCTCATAAACATGAACATTTTCAACGTTAGCTCGTTGCAGAGCGACATCTAACGCAGATTTATGTTGGAGATAATTAACATTAATGGTTATTTATGTTTCATTGCAAGGAAGTGCGCAGGAGTTTTTGTGCGAAACTCACCAAATTAAGATCTAATCCGTGGTCAGCAAGCGAAAGTTATAAATACGATTTGATGAAAGCGATGAGAGATTGGATTTGAAATATCCTACTATTTGTGCTTGCAAACATAATGAAAGTTAAAAGATTTTGAATCTGGCCTGTAGGCTGGTCGTCCAACCTTCCAAGACATTGCGAGACCTCTTGTGAAAAGTTTCTGACCACGTTGTTGCTAGCTACTTATAAAAAATATTTAGTTGAATTGAAAATAAAAAAAAAACAAATCTCGATTTTGGTATATATTTTCAAATTTTTAAAAATTCAATTATTTTCATTTGAAATAAATTTTTAAAATGATGAACTCGTGGAATAGGTATCGGCGTATGACTAGACAGTGCTGATGATGTGGTGCCTGCTCTATTTCTATTAAACATTTATTGGCATGTATTAACTTTCGAGAAAAAATATTTAAGCAAGGGCATATTTTTTTAATAATTAAATAAAATAATTAAATAAATACTCACCGTGAAGTCTACAAGAAACTATTTTTGCTGATACATTCAGGATTTTATCGAAGGACGCACGTCCTTTTTTATCAAATAGTATTGAACCGTTTCTAATCAAACCAGGAAAAAATGATAAGTGTTCATATGTCTTCATGTCAGTGTATATGCAGCTGTGTGTGAATTGAAGGTTGTTGTTTGAAATTCGCGTTTGTGAACTTTTCAACTCAATGTCGCCATATGATGTGTGCATTAGCGTATTAAATGGCCAAAATAACCCTAACCTTGCCACCACCGTGACCGATGCCTGCGTCCTGGCTGGCCTGGCTGGCTGGTTCACATGCAAATAAAAATAGACTGATGAAGCTTGCAAATTTGTTATAAGAATGTTATAGGAGCTATTTACCAACAGCAGTTTTAAAACTGCTCAACTATCAATAACCCTTCAACATTTCAGTTTCCGAAAAAACATGAGTTCATCGCAAGATAACATAAACAAATGAAACTTATTTGCAATATCATACATAAACATCCATCGCCAACCAACACCACCACTACTAACTTTCAGCCACAATTTGTTAACTGGAAATGTTTTAAAGGTAAAAACTTACGTAAGGAGATGTTTCTCTATTTATCTCGGAAATGTTTTCTCAACAGGAGGCAGGCTTGTTTAGGCAGAGGTTTGCACCTAGCAATCTGGCCAGGTATGCGGCGTTGATACATGGAAGGTATAATTTAAATAGAAACTAAGCTGCCTTCTTCAAAAGCAATCTGCAGGCAGTCGGGCATCAAATGAAACTTATTTGCAATTTCATACATAAACATCCATCGTCCGAAATGCTTCTTCGTCGTCATTGCCATCCCCGATGACAACCTCATCATCAACACATCCTTCAACCATGTTTTCAACTAACCATTTTGTTTCAATAATTTATAGGCCAGCAACAAATAAGGAATACTTATCTGGTCCGGGTTTTTTCTTTAAAAAATGTAATAATATTAATAATGTTATTATTGTTATTAATATTATTGTAATTTTATTATTATTTTAATATTATAATATTAATAATGTTATTATTGTTGTAATTTTATTATTATTTTTTGTTAGCAATGATGTTATCAGTTCCAGTTTTTTATGCTTCTGCAAATAAAGACGACGACGAAATTTAATTATCTGCTAATATATCGTGAGCGTGCGACGCTGAAGTTTACAGCACGCTGATAACAATGACATGAATTTGACGATGCTATCGCGCCATTTTGTTTGTTATGGAACGTGCTATAACGAGGTGTGTGGACTGAGATATGCAGGTTTGTTGTTGTTGTTGTTGCTGTTGTTGTTGTTTTTTTTGTTGTTTTTGTTGTTGTTGTCGTTGTTGTGTTATTGTGTTGTTGTCGTCGTCGTCGTCGTTGTTGTTGTTGTGCACGTGTAATTGCGCAGTGTTTTAGTTGCGGTATGCAATGTTCAGTTCTGTAGTGACTGTTATGTGTTGTTGGTTGTCGTTCTATTTCATGTTTTTGCAGATATGCATTGACGTATTAAGTTAGTTTGCAGTGTTACATAGATCAACGTAGTTTGCTATGTCCAGTTATTGTTGTGCTGTGAGTTGATGGGTCTTTTTCACATTTGTTATGTTGTGTTGTTGGGCTGATGTGTTGTTAGTACGTTGCGTTGTTGTACGATGTTGTTGTATGTTATTTCATTTTTCATGTCTTAACGTTATTCTTCCTCACTTTTTGTATTTATTTACTCACTTATTTGTTCAATTTTGTACTACTGCCTTGCATGTTGTTACAGTTTCTGCGTCTGTCAGATCCTGATTTTTAAAGAATAACAAAGAAAAAATGTTGTGTTGTTGTATGATGTTGCACGTTGTGTTGTTAGTATGTTGTGTTGTTGTTGTTGTGTTGTTAGTATGTTGTGTTGTGTTGTTGTTGTGCTGTTAGTATGTTGTGTTGTTGTTGTTGTGTTGTTAGTATGTTGTGTTGTGTTGTTGTGCTGTTATTTCATTTCATTGTGTTGTGTTGTTGTTGTTGTGCTGTTAGTATGTTGATGTTTTGCTTTTTCATTCTTCTTGTACACCCTTTTTATTTTTAAAGATGCGCAGGTCATATATATATATATATATATATATATATATATATATATATATATATATATATACAGTTGTTCAAAAAATCCACCGACGATTCAGCATTAACAAGTTTTATGGTTGATTTTCTAATATTTTGAACTAGTTCTTTACAATTAAGTCTATTCAAAATGTTGAAATCCATTTTATAATCGTTTATGATTTTAATTGTTAAAATTAATCAAGCAAGATCCCATTTTTATAATCGTTTATTTTTTATATTATTATTAAAATTATGCATATAGATCTATTTCGACGTAAAGTCATCATCAGTGCAATATATATTTTAAATAAATTCTATTAATAGTTAATTAGTTGTATTTTTTAATATATTAAAATAAAATAAAAGTAACGAAATAAAAACGCAAAGGTTCATTGAAATTAGTAAACAAAATATTTGAAATTATACGATTGTTCATGCTACGTGGCCGTTGTCAAGATGGCAACCAACAATGTCACAAATTTGAAGCGCGAAATTAATTAGAATATCGTTTCTATTATTATTATTATTATTATTATTATTATTAATTATTATTTTTATTATTATTATCATTATTAATATATATATATATATATATATATATATATATAAAATCTATATATATATATATATAAAATATATATATATATATATATATATAAAATCTAAACAACCCGGATGGTTGGACCATGTTGCTGGAGAGGATAATGACAGGCTGATATCATAAGAATGATTTTGGCAGAGTTGAAAAAATTATGGAATGTATGCGAGCCCCGAGGGAATGGCTGGTGGCAGTGCAAAATAATTACGCGAGGAAAGAATGCAACAACCTTCTGGGGGGGCAGTTGACATTTTGGGACTGAAGTTAAAAATTTACAAAAAAACAGGATGAACCCGATTAAACAATTTGTAAGTGTTTGTAATTTATTTTTAAAGAATTGTTGAATAAATTTTTAATTGTTCTTGTAAGGGTTTCAAAAGTGTTTCTATGATTTTAATGAGGTAGTTATGCATCCATCTATGTGTTAATGAAATCAAGCAGAATAAAGAATTAAGTAAGCCAGGAGAATGAGAACGAGAAATCAACATGTACAGGCACACATCCATTCATTAAACCGTCACGAAGGAACTTGTAATAGGGGAAGAAATGATCAACAATTTCTCCAACGCTGTACGAACGGCCATCCAAATGCCTCCTCCAGCAGACTAAACCGACCAAGTCTTCTACATACAAGAGGGCCATCTATACTAACACATTTTTTTTGTTTTTTAATCTCTGTTGACAAAATGAATATCTTTATTTTAAATTGTAAAAGGTTTTAATAAAAGTTTTTGTTATTTAAAGTTTAATTTTACTAAAACCTGCTTACAAAATAGTATGTATGAGTGTAGGTGTGTGTTGTGTTTGTGTGTGTTTGTGTGTGTGAGAGTATTTGTGTGTGTGTGTGTGTGTGTGTGTGTGTGTGTGTGTGTGTGTGTGTGTGTGAGGTGTGTGTGTGGTTGCTCAAGGAAACAGTTCCAAAGTGGTTGTTCATGCAAACAGCTCCAAATAAACGTCAGAGCAAATAGTTACATCATTATCATTAGATGCTTTTTAAACATCAAGAAGGTTTCATTTCTTGATGAGTGAGCATGGAAGCGTGCCCCTGTTTCTACACGTTCGTGTTCTCTTCACGAAGTTGCTGCTGCTGCAGAATCTCTCTGTTGCGATTTTTTTTTCTTTTCAATTCCCTCGCTAAAGAACGTGCACATCCCGTTGAAACATCGAGCCTCTACACGTAGCATCGTTTACGTCACGTCCAGGAGCTTGAGAAGATGAACGCCGGCGCAAGTCACGTGATGCCGTGTTCTGATGACGTCATGTTTTGTCGTGAAAGCAGCAAGTCATAGTTGTTTTTGATTCAAATCCCAATAAATCTTGAGGCGTTCCGCGCACTTTGACTCATCTCGACGCATCACATCGCGTGCATTTCATCGCCTGACATTTGTTTGTCTATAATATTGTAATGCACTCATCTGTTTATCATTGTCGCTTTCATCCTTGTCATTATTTCCATCGTCATCGTCGTCGTCGTCATCTTCATCATCATAATTTTGTTGCTTTTTATATCGCAATCAAATGATTGGCATCCATCGAGGGAAATGTTCAGCAAGAAAGTGGGAGGAGTTAGTGTCGTTACATGTTAAACAGGGGAAGCTTTGATGTGTTGTACATTTAATGATGAAATAAAATATGAAAAGTTAAACATAAACGAATGAAAAAACTTTCAATTGAATGAATTCGATGAGGCTTACCGTCATAGAATGCTCTTGCGAGATGTCGCATGGGAAAATGCTGAGAAATACAAGTGAGCAATGCAACGTTCCACGTTCATAACGTTTCATAAATCTGAAGACTCTTGCTGGACGCTCGTTATGTTCGAGTTTCTACATACATGGCACAAAAAAAACTGTGATGCAACACTTCATTCAATTCAGCCTCTAACAACATTCAATATAACTCTAAAACGCCTTATACAAAAATACTATAAAAGATTAGCGAGACATCTGTCTGTTACAAGTTAAAAAACAAAAAAAACATAGAAACAAATTTTTGAAAAATAGATAACCAACTTATCAAAATAATCCACGAAAGTTTCAAAGTGTTGGAAAAAATGTCAACACAACTCACTTGGACATAGAATATTGGGAACTTGCTGCTTAAACGACTGACTGATTTTGAAATATGTGCACAAGAAAATTCTCAATTTACGTTCGCGAACGAATGTGAAACACGAAAGACTTAACTGAATGAATAACCTAACCACAGAAACGCAGACTTAATACGCACGAATATGATCCCATGAACTAATACAAACACCGCACACTTTAAAGCGCATAAGAACTTGCAATTTGCGTAAATAAACATAAACGAACCTAAATTCTTACAGAAATATGCATGACAAACAAAATCATTCGTTCTGTTTCCAGCTTTAGCACATACATGAGTATGAAAACATGAACATGCCTTGGCAAATACACATGAACGCACGTGCACATGAACACAGTGCACATGAACGGACACGCCAAAGCGCACACATGCACACAGCAAACACAAGCTTTTATAAAAACTTGGAGGCGAATATGTAGCCGAGCTAACAAAACAACACAAAATGACATCATTACAATTGTCAAGTGACGATTTAGTTGTTGGCTTGTGCTGAATAATGCATGTCGGCAGATGAAGTTCCCATAGAAGATTGCTTCATGTTGCTTCGTGTTACTTCATGTTATTGTCTCTTTCTCTGTCGACTGTCAAATCGGCTTCTTTACAATTGTGCATTCGTGTATAACAAAAAATTTCATTCAACGCTCAACCCAACTAACTTTCTAATGTATATTTTTAATTATGCAACTCAACAAACGAAATGCGGTCAACATCACAAATTTTCAGCGTTTCTTCTTCAAATGTACTCATTCAAGTTTCATTTTGAGAAGCAAAGGCTGTGAATTCCTTTTTAAGCAGCACAAACATCGTCGTGCACGCAAGTCCACTTATGAAAAATTTACACGTTTAAAAAATTTTGTTCAAACAATTAGACAACGCTGCGTCAATGTTTTGCAAGCAAGAGAGCAATGCATCTCTGCTGCTCATGACATTTCGACATCTTACACAATGTCACTTGACAAAACAACAACACTAGCCACATAAATTAGTTAGTATAAATGAAAATTAATAATAAGTCATATTAATTCACCGAGTTTCGCCACTTGTCTCCAGACGATTTTTTTCTCTTACAAAGGTTATGTGTTACAGATTATACCTACATGTTACTGGTTGTATGCACCTCTCATGTCATAATGCTATCTCAATGTCGTAATAATCTTCCAGTATCTCATGGTCATAATAACGTTTCAGTGTCGTTAAAGTATCTTAATATCCTATGAAAAATTGTTGCTCTAGTTTTTTAAAAACTTCTGCTATTTCAGTCGATATGAAGTGTTTTTATTGAATTCTTTTTGATTGGTTAAATAGGCGTGAAATTATTTAATCAAGTTTAGGACTAAAAAATATTTAAAGAAATAACTTTTACGTTCAATGAATGAGAAATTTTGCTGCTCGGACTAACATGTGTGAACCTACCTCACTTCAATGGAGGCTTCAGTGTGAACTGTTATGAGACGCGTCAAGGAGTTTTCAGTTTGATGCCTTGTTAAAGAGTATTCATGTTTCATCATTCCAATTCTTAATGTCCGCATAGATTATTCAGTCCAAAATAATTTTGTAGGCACTCATACTTTTTTCTCTCTCTCTCTCTCTCTCTGTGTGTGTGTGTGTGTGTAAAAAAGTAAGAGATAGTACGTGAATGAGGATGGCCAGCAGGCAAGCAGGCAGCATGTACTCAGCAAACATTCAACTTGCTTCGGATGTCAGATTGGTTTGTGCGGATGTACTTCCAGAACTGCAAACATGCAAGCCAAATGAAATGTACGCGAAATTGCTCTATATGCCTATGCATCAATTTTGACAAACATTTGAAGGTACGTTTAATACGTTTTGTTTACATCGTTTCAAAATTATTAGACTTGGCTAAGCAAATATTTCAGACAAAATGTCGTATTGAAAATCGAACAAATTTCCCAACAAGATCTTGAAATAGTTACAAAATTATGTTCGCTAAAAAACTGGTTTTCATCTGATCTGCGCTTCAGACTGATAATAAAATATAAAGACCGGCAAGGACATTGTTCAATGCGTATTTATACATACACATTAATCTACATCGCAAACTGTCTCAATGTTGAATCGTTGAATTAATAAATCAGAGCTTGGTTGAATCTCCAACGAGCCCCATACAAAAGAGCAAAAATGGATCCTTAAAATTTTGAAAAATGGATTTTTATTAAATCAGATATCGGTGTCATGAACAGTGGTTATTATTTATTATTTCGTCTATTACTTGATTCTTCTTGATTCTCAGGTTACTTAATTTTATTTGAGATTTTTGTTTCAAGGAGATGATGACCGATAATAATTTTGTCGCGTTCTACATGCTGGCGTCTACTTATTTAATGCTTGCAAACTCATTGTCCAGAAAAACGCAAGATGAGAATTTTTTTCTGCAGCCTTACTTACTAAGATTATTAAATAAATTCTCAAAAATGTTCCATCGTTAAGAAAATATAACACTATTATTTTGTTAGTTTTAAGACGATCATTGTGAATCACTCGAGTTTGTAAATTTTTATATTTTATTTATAATAAACATTTCTGAATAAATATTATCAAAGTAAATTTAATTTTGCGGTTTAATTTTCTCATATTTTTATAAATTTTTAAAAAATACATGAAGCAATTTAATAGCCTTCTGATGTTTCTTGTTTTGTTTTGATATCGCAGATATTATATTGTATTAAAATCTTCTTGGCTGGGTAACTGTGATCATTCCATTGTCTGGATTTTATCAAATTTTTAGTCTGGACTTCATCAAATGTTTGGTTTATTTTTGTAATGTTTGTTGTTCCATACGGGGCTAAAGTTTCATTTTTCGTTTAATTTCTTTGAATAAATTATGTATTGCAAACAACTTTATAGAAACAATTTGTTTCCTACTTTTTGAATTTATTTGAATTGTTTTAAAAACCGCAACTGAATTAATTTTGTGGAGCGTGATTCATTATTTATTAATAATAAAAAAATTGATTTTTTTATTTTCCTCTTAAAAACAATAAGAAGCGATTTTACATTCCACAAAAACTTACTGCATTAAACCTCAGTCGACCCATTGTTTCATTTTAGCGAGTTTTGTGACGCAACTAAACCGAACCAGAAAAACGATATTAAACAAACGAAATTATACGTGTGTGTTTGTGTGTGTTTGTACGTGTGCGTGTATGTGTGTGTGTGTGTGTGTGGTGCGTGTGCGCGTGCGTGTATATGTATATAGCACTTATAGGCAAGGCATGTTTCATAAAGTCGAAATATCAAGATGTGGAATTAGAGCGGTTGGATGTTGTAATGCGATGCCAAGTTTATAAAGTGCAAACAACAAAAGGAATGACGTGTGGAGATTAGGTTTCAACTGCTCAGGCAGTGTTTGTTGTGTGCTGGGGGGGTTCCTTGTGCTTCTTCATCTGCCCACTCATCACCTCACTCGCGCGCTCCTCACTGCCCGTCTCCTCATTCAACCGCCAGGAAATTCATATAACGATTCCATAACGAAATCTGTTCATTCATTTTCTTAATCATTAATGCCTTCAGTCAATCATGAAATTTTATTGCGTTTTGTTGCCATTGGAAAATTTAAAACAAAGTCAAAAAAATTTAGAGAACGAAGGACAAAGCGTTGCAGTGGAAGCGTTGAAATGTGAACAGCAGGTTGAAACTGCTGCAACACACCAAGCCGTTCTATGCCTTGTTGATATTGCACAACTACATTACACAACTACATTACACAACTACATTACACAACTACATTACACAACTACATTACACAACTACATTACACAACTACATTACACAACTACATTGCACAACTACATTACACAACTACATTACACAACTACATTGCACAACTACATTACACAACTACATTGCACAACTACATTACACATCTACGTTACACAACTACATTGCACAACTACATTGCACAACTACATTGCACAACTACATTACACAACTACATTGACGTGCGGTAACGTGCTAGATGCCTTGTTGATATTGCACAACTACATTACACAACTACATTACACAACTACATTACACAACTACATTACACAACTACATTGCACAACTACATTGCACAACTACATTACACAACTACATTGACGTGCGGTAACGTGCTAGATGTAAGAAGCGTAATAAAGAAACATGGCAAATGTTATTGATGATCACATTCTGGATCGCATTCATTATTTTCTCTCAAGCTTGGTGAGTGCAAAATCTTTTGAAAACTTTTCAATTTAAATAAATAAATAAACTAAAAAGATGGAAGGCCGAATGTGTTGTTATTATTTGTTGTTAATAGAAGTGTTTTATAAATTTTGTTATGTGATTTCTCCAGTGTATGTTTGTGGCTTGTTCTGAGTCACACTGGTTTTGAATGTGTAGGTCTGGCTGGCTGTGTCATTGCGATCTACTGTACCGTTTTAAATTCTTTTTTGTATGTTATGTAGATTAAACTCCGAGAGATGTTTAGGAGTGAATTTTAATAAATATTTACATATGCAAAGACATATTTATGTAGGTTTATATATTTATATATATTTATGAATATATATATATATATATATAATTATATATATGTGTGTGTGTGACTTATTTATATGTATTCTTGAATACGCAGAACCTGGCATGTAAGCAGCGGACATTAAGGAGTGCAGAGGCACCTAAAGCACACTGACTGGACATTCAACAATGGTCACGCCACGTAAGTCCTGCAAATCAAACATGGACGATAAGAACAAACAAATATTTCAGAAGGCACTTCTGTTCACGAGGCTTCAATGCTTTCCATTCTGTATCATCATACACGTTCTCGTTCGAGTGAGTGTGCGGTACATTTAAAAATAGAATTACATTCGAACTTGCAGTCTGCGATTGTAATGAGATAAATAACAGAATGCATAAAATAGGATTTCTACGAGCAGTAACGATGATCGAAAAAGTTGTAATTTTTTAGAAATGAAATTTTTTTATTTATAGTTGTAATAAAAATACACGCTTCAAAAGATGTTTATACGTTTGAACAAAACAATTTGAATAAAACAGTGATGGGTTGATATTGCGAGTTGAGTACGACCGCAAAAACTACATTCACTTGTTTAACCCTCGTACCACGGTGTGTACTACCCCTCGTACCACGGTGTGTACCACCCCTCGTACCACGGTGTGTACTACCCCTCGTACCACGGTGTGTACTACCCCTCGTACCACGGTGTGTACTACTTACGTTGTACTCGCACGCATTTCGGATTTTATATTTGTGAGATATTTCTAAATTTATGACGATGTCTTCTAGGTTAGTTTCTGTTTGCATACAAGCTTATTGAAATCAAGAAGAGAACATTATTAGACAGGTTTAATAATATATATTTGTCGGAGTTATTGGGCGAATTTTCAAATAAATACAAGCATATATAAAATTAAAGTATGATATTGATCTATTATTAACATGTTTATGTGTTAATAATGTACATATATAAATATTTTTTTTCAGTGCGTCAGATAGGTTCAGTTGAAACGTACTTCAAATCATATCTAACTTATTGCATTCAATGAGCTATATCTAAGGAGGATAAACTACCCAATGTTAAATTAATATAAGTTTGAGTATCACAGGGTCCAGTTTTTGTACCTATCTTCATCACACATCTGACCACTTCAGATTGTCTGCTTGTCTAATTTTCTGTTTTGGTAGGTGACATTCGAGTCTCTCTATTAGACCACATTGTCTTAGCGAGAGAAATTTCAATTGATAGAAATTTAATGGTTTGTTATTAAAACTTCTTGAAGTTGAATCAGTGAAAAACAAAGTTACCAAGTTATTAGAAGCAATGTTACCTGTTGCAATAAATGAAGCTACCTCATTAACATTAACACTCCAGATGAATTATTTTATGAAAACATTCAGTAGATTTTATATTTTTCATCTCAATTATGTCCTTCCTTTCTTTGCCTGGCATTTCTCCCTAACTAAAATTATTGCAACATGTTCTTGTACAATGTCTCTAACCACATTTTTTCAGTGTAACTCAATAAATTATAAGTGGCGCGTAAAAGTGTCCTTTCAATTTTTTTTATAAAAATAGAATTTACTAAGATGATAAAATTAAATTTGGTCTACTTCATTCTGTTGAAATTTTAAAAAAAATGTGCCACGGTCACTAATGTCACAAATTTTTATGAATAAATTCATTTTCCAACGAATCGAAAATAATTTTTTGGATCGTCCATTTTATTAGACATTTGGATGAATAGTTTATAATTATCAGATACATATTTCGATTTTGAATTTGTGTTGTCGTTGTTGTTGTTGTCGTTATTGATTATGTGAATGATGACCGCGAAAGTGTAGTTGCTGGTCAATGGCCGGCCTAGATATCGTAGGCAGACAGGCAGGCAGGCAGTTGTAAGGTAAGGTGATGCGAATAATAAATTGAACCTTGCAGAAAGATTTTGTTGAAAGATTTTGTTGATGCGTTGTTGAAGAGGGCACAAAGATCGAAGCGATGAGTAGACGTGACGGTGTTATAGGGAGGTGTTGTAGGCAGCACGAATTATGATTTAAAAATTCAATTCAATTGGAAACTTTTATACAATAAAAAAATGTATTAAAAATTATCAACTATATCTAAATTTAGAAAGAAATAATTGCATTTGTGTGCAAAAAGATAAAATATGTATAGAAAAGCGTATTATAAAGTTCAAATGTTAGCCTCACATATTGTTTGCAAGCATACATTATAAATAGACGAACTATTGAACTAACGCTAAATCACCAAACTATAGAGATAATGTTGGTGATGATGACGGTGTTGATGATGATCTTGCTGATGACGATGGTGGTGATAACGATGGTGGTGATGACGATGATGAGGATGGTGATGATGATGCACTACTTGCAATAATGTACTGATGCAGATAATGATACCCATTTAAAAAAAGATTTTCAATTGAAATGTGGTATGTGCTGGTATATGGTAATATATAGGGTGATATATGATATATATAATGATATGTTATGATATACATCACTACCAAAATATATTTGGGCGGCGTGCTACGTAGCGGTTAAACGCCTGGTTATGCCGGTGAAATGTTCGCATTTGAATGCCAGGTGTATTGGGTACGTGTATTAGTGTATTAGTGTTATAAGTACGTGTATTAACATAAGTTTGGCATGTGTAGTTTGTTTGTACTTCTGAAAATTAATGATAACACAGCAACAACGTTATTAACGATGGTATGGTGATAAAAGTATCTTCAGGGCAAATTCGGGATGATCTTAACCGTAGAATTAAAAAGATTTCGCATTTGAAACAAACTTCCAGAATTCCTATTCAATTCACCTCGCTATTTCTCTGTTTTAATTACCATACCTTCATGTCATCGTCCCATTGTTGGTTAATCATCATATTTCATTTTCTTCTCACATGAATATTAAATTAATTTTTCAGTCAAGAAAGACCTCATTTTTATTCTTCATCTTCTTCAGTTTGTGGCAGTATGTTTCTCATCATTCAACCACAACAAAACATCAACCACTTCCAAAGTTTTTAATAACAACAAATCCTGGAGATTTACTCAAATAGGCCTGTCAGGCTTGGCGCCAATAACTCTCTGGATAAGACTTTACAATACTGGGATTATTTTATTTGGTCAAATCTTTAAAAATTATCATTGTTTAAATAGTGTTGCTTCTTCCAAATAATGTTGAACTGTATAGTTGTAAAAAAAAATTAATAAAAATAAATTGTTTGCAAATAATAATACCTAATAATAATAATAATATTTGAGAACAAAATTTGAAATACGAGACAACCATTGACAGCCAGAGGACAATCATGAAACCAAAAAAGTGTGAGAGAAAAAATATAAAACAAGAACATCAAACAATCCTCAACTCAGCAAAATATGTCTAGGTTGTTTGTACTCATTAAACACACGTGTCCAATGAAAGATTTTGATTTCTAAAAATTTGAGATGTTTGTAAGGGTAGGAAATTTTTGTATTTATGTACAAAATCTTCAATGATTTAATGAGTTTTGTACCTTTTGATATTTGATACTTTTCGGTATTTTGAACAGACTAAAATAGCAAGCAGAATTTTTAATAGGCAATAAAATAGAGAAAAAAAAGTTCTAAATAAAATACAATGAAAATAAGAAAATAGATGCAGTTAAATTATTGCTCGAAACGATGCAGATGCACACAAGCAGTGTAGATAAGGAATGACTTGTATGTGCTTTCTGCCTAATGTCTTATGATGGCACGCTCATATTATATGGTGCACATCAATTGCACCTATCATCTATCTAAAAATACAATCTACTCTCTTAATGTTTTTATTCTCCACTTGATGTATTTCTTCTTTATGTTTTTATCTTCCCATTCATTTCAATTTTATTTTCAGACTTTGGTGGTGGTTCTTTTTCAGAAGACTTCATGTAAATGCCCGCAAAATTTTCATCTTGACACAATTTTGACACTTTGCTTTTCTATTTGTTTACTATGAATCTACATTTCTGCGTTCTAATAGTTTAGCAATTGCTTGCTTGGAATGGAAAATCTTTTTTATTTTAGTTACACCATCAATTATTTTCAAAAGAATTCAGTAAAGGAGTAACCAATGTCACATTTTAATAAACAGCTAGTACATTTTTGAAGATTTGACGTTGAGATAAAAAAAGCGTTCAGCTGTTTGAAAATAATATTATACTCTTTATAACCTCGTGTATCCTTTCAATTGTGAGAAGTCTCTCATCAGTCAGAGCTTTGTACAAATAAAGTTCAAGTGTAATATTAAAAAAATAAACCAACACTGAACGCACTAACAAAACTGCGATTAAAGTTTCTTTTGTTTTTATTTGTAAAATGCGTAAAATTAAACAAAATGATATCTCAAACACAAATTAGCGAAGGCATCTCGTTTCGACCCATTATTATCAACCTTTGTTAAAATAATTTGCAAACTATTATGTATTTTGTATTGTTTAACATTACATCATTCGTGTTCTTATGCAAATGACGTCAATAAAAATGAAAATCAAGATTTAAGTAGCACAACACAAATTGTAATACTTGTTCGTAGAATGAAAAGTAAATGC